TGCTCCGTCGATAAATTGGATCCTGTTGGACCACAAGCGAGCGTCGAGTAGTTCTCAAAGCGTTGAGCCGATCCAGTGGTCAATATGCTCAGTCATCAGTGGAAATGATGAGCATAGGACCCGAATAAATGGAGTTGGCTTGGCNCAGTGCTAGAGGGGAGGAGGGAGGCAGACAGTGTAAGGCAAACAGTCCACGCCCCTTCGAAGGTTGTTTGTTTTCAACCCCTCGAAGGGGCGTGGACTGTTTGCCTATCTCTCTGCCTCCCTCCTCCCCGCTAGCACTGCCTCCGCCGGCACGCGCGCCGGCCGGCCGGCCGGCCGGCGGACTATGAAAGCAGCCATTCAGTTCTGGGTGAATGTTCCGTCCCCCATACGTGCCAAGTGCCCATACTGGATACTCGTTACTGTATCTCCTACAGCATGTGCAAGGATGGGCACATCTTTTACACGTTGCCAGACCGTTTCAAGTTAAGCGCTCACATCGCTTTCCTACGCGCTGACCACATTTGCACCTCCTGACATTTATAGAATTTACCGAATGCTTGCTTTTCTGACCAGAGGAACGAGTCATTATTGTTGACATATGTCTGATTAGGTAAAATTCGATCTCTAGGCGAGAGGTTCCCTGTATTGTTTGTGTAGGGTACATGTACTTGGTAAGTTGAGAGGGTAAGAGATCCCACTTATTTTTTGTTGATTGCTTGTCCCTTATGGTGCAATCAATTGTGCTAGTGGACCAAATGTCATGTAGTTCTTTCACTTTTATTTCCAAAGTCACCATGGTACGGTAGTAATGACCTCACCTCTGGAAATTGTGTAATATTTTTCATTTATTATAAAGCGCAACCGGTGTAGGGGCCGATGGCATATCATCACTCGCATTAACCTGAGATTGAATAAAGGCTCAAGAACAATCAATCCTTCATTTCTTCCGGGGTCGTCTAATTAGTACCAGAATCGTATGGGAAGATTGAAACCTAGTGACTCGCAATGGTATGGCCATCGCCAGCCGTTGTATGGTCCCCATACGCAACAAGAAGGTCCTACGGTCCCGAATGGGAGTCAAATGCGACCTACATCATACAAGCGGAGGGCCAACGTCTGAAAAATTCAATGATTCTATATCGTTGAATGGAGAAGTAAGTGTTAGGTTTTTAACTCAAGGTGGCTTTTTTCAGCTATTCTATCGCCAAGTTATGTAATGCTTTATCTGGTAATATTGGTAATTGTACTATTAGTCGTTATGAAAGTCTATTACAAGCCTAAGAAGGTAATTCGTACAAATACTTGTTCGACAACAATTGAAAAATATGTGAAAAAAGTTTCTAGTTTTCATTATTCTGATTATCTCATTATGCTTAGCGTACTTCAGAGAAAACACCGTCGAAAACATCGACATGGAAAACGTGGACGAGGAAAGAAGAAGAAGAAGAAGAAGAAGAAGGACAAGAAAAAGTCCAAAAGTAAAGGTCCGAGCAAGCCCTCAAGTGAAAGCGGAAGTGTCGATGAGGTCAAAACGTCTGGAACGCCTGGAACGTCTGGAACGCCTGGAACGTCTGGAACGTCTGGAACGCCTGCCATGTCTGGAATGTCTGGGGTGTCTGGAGTATCTGGAGTATCTGGAGTATCTGGAACTCCGGATGATGTCAAAAAACCATTGCAATGAAGGGCCTTTTTCCAGACCGAGATTAAGTCGAACAGCGTTTCGCGGTTAAAACGATTTATTAGACAATTATTTCTTGTAGATTACTGATAAATCGTTTCTCAAAAAAATTGTGTGGTCAGGTATTCACATTCATGGCACCTTCATGGCCCTGTTCGACTACTTCATGGTTTTGACCCTTCTAATTCGAACCGCTCTCTCCAAGACACTCTCTTTATCTTTTGTTCACGATCTCTCTGATATCGTTCCGTTCAAGGGCAATGAATGAAAGATTAAGGTGTAATTAAGGTAGAGTCAATTGGAATTGCATGGAATCGCGTACGGTACCGTTGGCCGCCGATGAAACTGATTCAGGCTGGGATCCTGGCTTGAATGCTCGGCTCGTACCCGATTATTTTGCGGATTAACCTGCGCAGGCTCTAGTCGATTTCTTNTTACTTAGGTCAGGTATCTATCCATTATTGAGATCAATGAGCACTGATCTGATTTTATACCAAAGGTACACGAACCCTCTAATTTACCATTCACCAGGTCTCTCACTAGTTCGTCTTCAGTTGGTTGGTCTGGTAAATCTTCCTAATACATATAGCCGCAGGTAGTCAATCGATATTCTCTGACTATCGGCCGACTAGATGCGGCTCATAGGCGTAACAACATCCTTCCTCAGTTATTGAAATCTACCAGCGCGTCTAATACGATCAGACGGTCAAAATCCCCCTACCCTTGGCCAAATCCGTGCAGGGAGGTGATCATGGTGTTGGGGACCGATTTTAGAGGGGGCTATGAGGTGAAGAGGCTTGATCGCAACGAACCGGACTGTTCAAATTTTCGGAATAGGAATTGGAATCGTTTACGCTACCTCTTCCACTGCTTTTCTCTACCGAATCAGTTACTCCCATGGTTATTAAGCTTTCACTAAGTCGAAGATCTACTTATGCCCAAAACTGAGGGCAACATGATGAGTTTTTTTTGTTTTATTTCTGTTTTTACCGCGCATCAAAGTATTAGTGGGATATAGGATTCTGTATTCCGTCCACAAGGGTGAAATTATGTAGTTGCGAAGTCCCGGGATGCCCAATCGGCGTGTAGCCCTAGGTGGAAAGATGTAGTTCGTTATGTTCCTCGTTAATTTTTATATTTTCTTGAATAGTTGGAGTTTCGAGCACCAAGATCCAAAGAGAAATTCCAATTACAGTTGAGGGAACGGGAAAGGGGAAAGGTGTATGCCAGTGGGGTAAGTGGGGAGTAAGTCCATCTTTTATGCGCAGATGTAGGGCAAAATTCGTCCTGAGTAACTTACAAATAGAATTTGTCTTAATTCCGAAAACGCAGCATTGATCACGCATTTATCAATGCAGAACTTCTCATTCGTCACATAAATGACAACCACGAGGGCAGTAGGTCTTCCTTTGTTCGTAGGTGATATCCTCACGGTAACAGAATCCGTTTGCGATATGAACGGGGCATCTG